AACTTGTGGAAAGCTGTGTGAAAAAAATAATTATAGTATTTTTTCAAAGCTAGCAAAGTAGACAAAGGTCTACAAATATCTAGATTTTTAAATATCTACTATTATGAGGCTTTAAGGCTGTTAAGACCCCACAAACAATTCTTGATATACCATGAAAAATATTTTAAGTTAAATTTAAATTTTTTAAAAAAAGACATAATATCTTTCTTCTATGTCCTCAGGTGAAGGCAATTGAAGAAGACACCCAGTGTCAACCTCTGGCATGCACACGTGTACACATGTAACTACACATATGTGAACATGCATACACACACATGCCAGAGTTTAAAAAATTCTAGATACTATACCCAGCTAATTTATTGAAACATGATTAAGTCTTTTAATAAGTGAGAGCAACAAGTTGTTAAATTGAACACGTCTTCTCAGCCACCGAGGAGTAAATATAGGTCAAGCACATGTCAGTGAGAAGGCAGCTGTTTTCTAGTGTGAGCTTCCAGACACATATGATGGAAACACACACACACACACACTCACACACACGAGAGAGAGAGAGAGAGAGAGAGAGAGAGAGAGAGAGTTGAGATAAAAGGTGATGCTTTAATTTAAATGCATATAATACTATTGCATACTAAATTAAATGGAGCCAACTATGTGAGAACCACATGTTCCATATGAAGTGCTCAGTTTTCAGTGCTTAGAATGACTGAATAAAGAGTCAGGAAGAGCGAGTGTCACAAGCCCAAGCACAAAGCCTGACCACTGAGTAGGAAATTCTTCGTGTCTGTCAGCTAGCTACTACTTTGCCCTAAGGCATCAGCAAAGCACCTCCACACTTCTATTCCAGGCATTTAATGTGAAGACAAGATCAGAGTCTATAAGAGAATCAGACACAACAGAATCTTTCTCTCTCCCTTTCAGGCCATCCCCAAACACCTACCATTTGTATACCTACACGCTGCAATCCCCTGGACCACGGGCCAGGATGACTAGCCACAAAGAAGTCACAGTAACCTCATGGCAGATGTGAGCAACGGACTTACATTCAGAACTCCTGTTGACAATACATGGAAATCCACTTTTCCTATGCGGTAAAATTCCTTAAAGAATCTTTACAATGTAGAAGCTTTTCAATATTTACACCAAATAGCATGAACGATCATCATTGTCAAAGATATTTGAAAGTTATTCCTAAAATAAGTGTCTGTTGCTTTTTCAGTTATTAACAGGCCTATATTAATGTTGTGTAACAGAGCATCTATTTTCCTTGTTTATTGAGACTTTAATGTTAGCATTTTGCTAAAGGGTTTCGGCTGATGGGGATTAATGGAGTGACAAATTGTCCCGAGGATGTATCACTGTTACTATTTTCTTTTAAACACAGCGATGTTTGCTGCATATGTCATCTTAAATCTCAAAGTTCTTTCCAATTTGAGGCCGGCTTTCAGTTTTGATTTTAATTCCTTGGCCTTTGTTATTTTCATTGTTTTAAGTCATGTACAGTGTTGCTATTTGATACTTCAACTGTCAAGGATTTTCTCAAGAATGTCTAAGCAATCCTGTTGTGAGTTTAATTATGAAGTCTTTCACCTTTGTCCACCTTCCAAAGTAATTCCCATTGTGAGAAATGAAAAGATGGCTTACTATTTAAAATCATCTGTAACTTATAGAAACGTATGGATTTTAATTTCTTTTAATTTTGATACATGTCTATAATGAGGTATGATCACACACACACACACACACACTCCCCCACTTCCCTCCTCCAGCTCTACCATTATCTCCCTAGCAATTCCCACTCCTAACTTCATATTATAATTATTTTCATAGCCTGTTAATGACAATTAGTGCTGCCAAGATGAGAATGGGCATGGGAGTCCACGGGGGACTGGGAAAGTCATCTAGAAGTAGCACTAACCTGAAAGAAATCCAGATGTTAGACAGCTGTGAAGGTTCATTGTGCTCGTGAGCGTGACTGGGTGATGAAATGTTCACAGCACTTTGGAGCTATACTTTTAGATGTGGCTTACGGGCATTTCTAGAAAGAATCATTTGAGGGGGAAATATCTGTTCTGAGTGTGGAGTCACTATTTCATGGGCTGGGGTTCCAGACTGAATGAGAAAGAAGAGAGAAATGGGGTGGCACAAAGGGATTCTCATTTCTCTCCTTCTCAGAGCCCTGAGATGGGACTGAGCAATGGCTGCACACTTCTGCCACCACAGGGTCAGCCACTGCCATGACCACTGCCTCAGGACAGGCTGATGTCCTTAAACTGCGACACAAAATCAATGCCTCGACCTAAGATGCTTCCTATTAGGGGTTTCATCACAGTGACAACCCGGTAACTTTATTAAAGCCCCAGTGCTACTTACAATGAAAATTTCTGTCTGCAAACGAAGTACAAATGTTGAATTCTCATAGAAAAAAGTCATGAAATGTAAAACTATGATTTAAGAACGTCTCTTGCTCCTCCTCCTCTGCCTCTGTATAGCTGACACTAAGATAAAGACATGTCTGGCTTATGAATACCTTTTGGCTACATTATTCTAAAATAGTAATTGGCTTCTTTTCCCCTCACTGATTATGGCCCAACAAACTTAATGTAATTCCATGTAAGTCCCTAAAGTTAATCATGTCTACTGATGAAAGATTAAGAATAGAATAAATCAGCAAATTGGCAAAGGCCAGATTATGTTTGTAGTGAAAAGTAGGGTTTTTTTTTATTATTTTGTAAAGCAAATGCTTCATCAATGAAATGTAAGCTTCAAGCTTGAACGGTGCATACTTCAAAATCTTTGGGATAAATAGTTTAATGTGTGTGAACATATGTGACAGATTAGAATTTGACTCTCCACTACAGATATGTAAATATTAAAGAAGCAAAAATATTTCAGTAACATACAATAATATAAATTTTTTGCTACTTAATTTAAACATACTTAATGACTTAGCTAGGATAACTTGGGATAGCATTAACATGGGGTTGTCTTGCATAGATTCACCAAGATTTGTTCATGCCCAAATTGATAACCAGAGAAATAATTTATGTGACCTGTAAATCATAGGAAACACTTTCCAGTGTCACCACATCTTGTTTATATTTCCAGTTACTTAACCACACATTTGCAAGAGGAAATTTGATTGCTTGAAAATTATAGCTTAAATCAGTCAGTCATTAAAATGCATTTACAAGTCTGCCATCTCCTAGCACGGCTACCGCCGCATGCTCAGTCATGGCAGGATGATCACAGATTGCTATCGGCCTAATGTAGAACGACAAAATTTTCGAGAAACACTCTGGCAAAGGGATAGCTTACAAATAGCATATAAAAGTCACTTCACAAACTACATGCAACTGGGATCAAACTGGACCCTATAAAACTAGTAATAAGCTAATACCAGAGTAAACAGTCACTTAGAGACCATGAGAGCAAACTCTTCAAGCCAGCGATACACTTACAGAAGCAGAAGCATAGATGCCAGGAGCATGTAAGAAGAAAGCAGTTCACTGTGTCTGGCAAGTCTTTATGTTGTAGCTCTATAGAGTCTTTCATGATGACAGTGATCAGGATGCTCTACAATGCAGGAACATGCGGTTCTCATGGGGAAATAGCACTCTAAAATTTGGTGATTATCTTTGAAAGTAACTGCATCTGATGACGGTTAAACCAAAGTTCCCCAGAGATTGAAAATTAGAGAAGGGCATTTAGAAACCGTGAAAACGGGAAAGTACCAGGTGATCACATTACAGGTAATGTCAAACCGATATGATGGACTTACCTGAGATGCACATCATATCCTCTGATCAAGGACCTCGTATAGAAGACACGGTAAACTGAACGCACTCATCAGCATGTGTGACAGGCACTACCTACAGTGCACTTGGATACAGGTGAGGCGTGATTCTGATAAAGGCCTTAGACTGAAAAGCTGTGCTTTATTAACACGCTCTGTGTTTATTTTAAACATGTGAAAATACATTCTATTGAAACTTCAGAGAGCGGATGGCATTCACAGGTTCCTGATAAATATTTTGACACTCCTGGTAAATGAGGAAATATGTTTCACTGATTGCCATTTTATTCTCTGGGAACTACAAGTGGTCACTATTTCTGTAACTGCAATATTTGATTAATTTCTGTGATAATCAGCTGAGGGATAAAATAACCAGAATCCATTGACATAACTGTATCTTTCTACATTAGCTGCTTTTTGGCAATACAATAATATTAGTTGTGAGAACCCAAAGATAAACCTGAGATATTCTCTGCCATAATCATTGTTACATTCAACTTTATCCTGTGCTTTCTCAAGAATAATTCATTTTCTGAACAAAATATGCATTTCTTTTGTTACAGAGCAGTGGCTCTTCGAAACTGGATTATGAGAACACAGTGTGCATGCTTTGTTTACTGAGATAATATCATTTCCTTCTAAAATCTTTCTTTTGTTGTCTTCTCATTAAACTATAATCTATCTAGAGTGTTCTGAAATTTGGGGTTTCAACAGAAACAATAAGAGACTGAGTCTCAACAGGGAGGGAAAATTAATCACTCAAGAGAAACAAGTTCAAACAATGTAAATTAATTTGTTATTGAGCAGACTTTCTGAATGACTGCCAAAATGTTTTCCTCTAATCCAGCACTTACTGATCTGTTTGCTTGTACCTAATAATATCTTACCTAGATTCTTAAGCAAAGAAATGAAGGTAAATAGTTTCATTGCATTTTGGCTGTCTCTTCTCCAATACTGAATAGGTTCCCTAGATGACAGAGGGACAAATGGGTGGAGTGAGACTTCTGTAACTAACTGGAGAGGTTCAAAGATCTTATGAAATGTTCTTAAGATAGTGGACGAGTCTGAAGCAACAGATACTTTTGTCTGACACCATGTTACTAGCTGTGGGAAGGCAAAGTTTTCAAAATAGCAATATATTCATGTTTATATTACACGTACACATAAAGAAAAAGCCGCAGACATATAAGGAGAGGAAAAGACTTACCATAACGTCTTCTAAGATTTTCTTGAGTTCTTCATGACCATGCCTTTCAGCAAGATGCAGCATGTCTGAACCATCCATGTTCTTCATCCGGGCTGCCCAGGTTGCCCCTGAACACTGAAGCAGATGAAGAGCCAGATTCTTTAAGCCAAACTTGGCTGCACAGTGGAGAAGTGTTGGGAGCTCTCTGGTATGAGTATCTGGAGACACACGAAATAAAAGGTTGAATATATTATATTTGCACTGCCATAAATTAGCCAAATACAACCTAGTCTTGAGAATCACACTCAGAAAGCTGAGCAGAACTTCAGTAAATATAAGAAAACACGGGCGGTCATTGCAATGGAGACATTCCTTACTATTTTCTTAAAATGCTATTATCACTAGCATTTATGCACCAATCTTAATTGAGGAGCAGATTTGAAATTACAAGAATTTTACCGTTCACATTTCAAAAAATGTACTTGGCCCTTCTTGCATGATATGCAATGGGTCAAAGTTTGACAAGTATTTTATAAGGTGAGACTTTTATAAGGAAAAATTGACATTATTTAAGGTCTCTACCGACTTTCAATAAAAATAATGTAATCTCTTGAAAACACACAATATGCAAATTTTATTTATTTGCAATGACTTTCATTATAGGCAATTTTTTACAGTGTTCAAAATAGGTCAAATTTAACAATACAGATATCAACTTGGTAATTTAAATTCTCACATGCCTTGATTACCTTGTTCTTTGCTACATTAGAAAATATAATACTCAAGTGCCATCTCTTGACAACCCATGCCCTGTCATGGTTCCTGCATCCTGTCAGTCTGGCAAACTAAGTCCCTCATAATTCAGTTTCAGTATTTTATTAATTATTTACTAATTACAGGAATATATACATCCTTTAGCATCAACAATTTATCTTGGTATCTTCAAGTTAGTATATTATGTTAAAAACAACAAATAACTTACTTGGGCATCTATTTCTACACAGTAGAAGGAGTGGCCAGCACTGCCTAGTGGCTCCTCCCTTTATCTTGAGTATCCAGTGTCAAAGAAATCAAACTGATCAGGTGATATACCCATGAGTCTATTATATTACTATTATGTGTCTTTCCTAGATCATCATTGTCCTGGTTAGTTTTATGACAACTTGACACAAGCTAGAATCATTAGAGGAGAGGGAGATTCAATTCAGAAAATACCTCTATAAGATCAGTTTATAGGCATGTCTCTGGTATATTTTCTTTTCTTCTTTTTAAAAATCTAAGCATATTTATTGAGTATCTGCTTTGTCTGGATCCATCTCACTAGCTATGTAGGAAATAGGAGGCATACAATAATGCTTTCTAGGATATAGTTTACTAGGCAGTGAGATAAGAAAAATTACCATAGAGACTCTGGAGAGGCCATAAATAACTTGCCTATCACAGGCTATAATAAAACAGGAATAATCCTTGTAAATAGTTGCCAATGTTATAGTAAAAAAAAACAACAACACTTTTTCAACTGGTAGTTATTTTGGGTGGGAAGAGGCAGAAATATAGGATGACTAAATCTAGAACCTATTTGGGAAATACAGTGAATGCTGTATCGAGGATTTTTTTTGTTTTTATTTTTGTTAGCCAGGAGGTGGTGATGCATACCTACAATCCCAGTATTTGAGAGGAAGAGGCAAGCAGTTCAAGGCCAGCCTGGTCTACAGAACAAGTTCCAGGAGACCACAGATGCCAGCCCAGATAAAAGGAAATCTCAATTCTGAACATCTCTGTCCCAAATACAAGGCCACCCTCATGTGTAAAAGAAACATTGCTAAAGCTTAAATCACACAGTAAGCCCCACTCACTAATAGTGGGAGACTTCAATACCCCACTGTCACTACTGGACAGGTCTACTAGACAGAAACTTAATAGAGAAATAAGGGAACTAACAGATGCTATGACTCAAATAAATGTGACAGACATCTATAGAACATTCCATACAAGCACAAAAGAATATACCTTCTTCTCTGCACTTCATGGAACCTTCTCAAAAACTGACTACATACTTGGTAACAAACCAATCCTCACAGATAAAAAAAAATGGAATAACCCCATGTATCTTATCAGATCACCATGGCTTAAAGTTAGAATTCAACAGCTACACTAATTTCAGAAAGTCCACAAAAACAAAGAAACTGAACAATGCCCACTTAAATCACCATTGGGTTAAATAAGAAATAAAAAAAGATGTTAATGAATTTCTAAAATTCAGCAAAAAAGGCCACACAACATATCCAAACCTTTGGGACAAAATGAAAGCAGTGCTAAGAAGGAGGAAGAACATGAAAAACGAAATCAGTACTGCGAGGGATGCTATCACCCACTGATACAAGGGAACGGATCTGATGAGAGTTTACCAAGGCCAGTTGGACTGGGACTGAAAGAGGACGTGATCTAACCAGACTCTCCGAATTTGGCCGGATTCTCTGACTGTGGCTGACCCGAAGTCTTTCTGAAAAGCCATTGACTATGACACTGGGACCTGTTTCCTCTACATATTTTGGGGATCCAGTCTGTTTGGACACTCACCTTCCTGGACCTGGAGGGAGGGGGAAGGAACTGGAACTTCCCACAGGGCAGGAAACCCTGACTGCCCTGGGGGACGAAGAGGGAGGAGGAGGGGGAGTAGGGGGAGTGGGAGGGTGTTGGGAGGGGGGGTGGAAATGGAAACTTTTATAATTTAATAAAATTTACTAAAAAAAAAAGCATTAAAAGTCTACATTAAGAAGCTGGAAAAATCCCACATTTTCATACAGGTGAAAGACCTGTATGACAAGAACTTTGAATCTTTGAAGAATGATATTAAAGAAGACATCAGAAAATAGGAAGATCTCCCATGCTCTTGGGTAAGTAGAATAAACATTGTAAAAATGACAATCTTCCCAAAAGCAACCTACAGATTCAATGTCATGCCCATCAAAATCTGAGCAAAATTCTTCACAGACCTCAAGAGAATAGTCAACTTCATATGAAAAAACAAAAAACCCAGGATAACCAAAAGCAATCCTGTAAAATCAAGGAACATCTGGAGGCGTCACCATCCCTGACTTCAAACTCCACTATAGAGCTACAATAATGAAAACAGTCTAGTATTGACATAAAAACAGCCAGACGTACCAATGAAATTGAATCAAAGACCAATATATCAATCCACACACCTACCAACACCTGATTTTTTTTACATAGAAACAAAAATATAAAATGAAAAAAAGAAAGTATATTTAATAAATGGTGTTAGCAAAACTGGATATCAACATGTAGAAGAATGAAAATAGTTACATATCTATTACTATGCCCAAACTCAGTCCAAATGGATCAAAAAACTTAACATAAAACCAATCATACTAAACCTCACCAAAAGAAAGAGGGAAGTACACTTGAATGCATCAGCACAGACTACTTCCTAAATATAAATAACCCCAGTAGCACATACACTGAGAGCAACAATTAATAAATGGGACCTCCTGAAACTGAGAAGCTTCTGGAAAGCAAAAGACATGGTTAACAAAACAAAATGGTAGCCTACAGAATGGGAAAAAGATTTTCACAGAGGTCTGATCTCTGAAATAGGCAAATAACTCAAGAAACTTGACATCAAAAGAATAAATAATCTAATAAAAATGTGATACAGACCTAAACAGAGAACTCTCAACAGACAAATTTCAAATGGGCTGAAAGACACCTAAGGAAATGCTCAACATCCTTTGCCATCAGAGAAATGCAAATCAAAATAACTCAGATTCCATATTAAACCTGTCACAATGGCCAAGATCAAAAACACTGATAATAGCTCATGCTGGAAAGGATGTGGGGTAAGGGAAACATTCCTCCATTGCCGGTGGGAGTGCAAACTTATACAACCACTTTGGAAATCAGTGTGGCGATTTCTCAGAAAATTCGGAAACAACCTTCCTCAAGACCACTTTTGGGTATATACCCAAAGGAAGTTCAATCATACCATAAGAACATGTGCTCAACTATGTTCTTAGCAGCATTGTTTGTCATAGCCAGAACCTGGAAACAACCTAAACGCCCCTCAAATGAAGAATGGATAAGGAAAATGTGGGACATTTACACAATGGAATATGACTCAATGGCTTTTCACATTCAGTGTTTCTTTGGATGCTATAGCATCTTTTTAAGGGCACATTTCTGATTCTTTGTTATTGGGCTCGCAACTCTTTCACAAGAGAGCTTGTGAGCAATACAGATCTCCATAGCTGCCATACACGATCATCACAAAGTCAGCTCAACATAGATCTGTTGTGTGATCTTGTTCTATCAGTTACTGATATAGTTAAGAGATTTATTTTTCTTTCTTGTCAAGGATCCACCACATTAAGGTATTAAGTTTATTTATATGTCTTCTGCAATTAACATTCTGCTTAGTGAAAACAATAAAAAACAACTCGATTTATATACCAGGGCTAGTGAAGTCATGGATCTCAGGAAAACCTACCATGACCAGCATAATTCCTAATTACATTCTAAATACTGATTCTTCTATACCCATCAAACATCAAAGATGTTTCTCTTTGTAGTAGACAAAAACAATTATGGGAACCATAATAGGTCAAAATGCAGAAAACAAAATCTGAGGTGCCCAGCTCCAATGGACACACCTATAGCATCCAAGGCTCTGAAAACATCATATAAGAGGAAGCTGTAAGATTGTAAGAGCCAGATCCAGGACAACTGCTGTAAGAACGTGTCTCCTAGAAATGACTTAGAAGCTTCACTCATGATGTCACAACAATATGGCTGTCTAAATAGAGATAAACAAGTATACTTACTAGGACAAGTTAACGTGGAAGGAGGAAACCACACAGGACTCTGCTGTCTGACAAAGAACTACAGGCAACTAAGAAATGCTGAGACGGAGAGAAATTAGTCTTCCTAAGGGAAGAGTCCCTAGTTGGTTATCCAATACCATGTGGAAAGGATACAGTGGGTTGTATTTATATATTTATGCACATATGTAGACCCATTAAAGGGAATAGTCCTTGAGTTTGAGAGGGAGTAGGATAGAAGTATGTATGGGAGAGGCGGGGAGAGAATAAGAGAAGAGAGGAGGCAACGTCACTATATTTCAGTTTAACACTTCAGACTGCTTATGGAGGTGCACATGTACACTCTTAGAAGATGGGACGTAGCTGATGGGTATGCA